TGAGGGGCAGCCGCGTGTACTGGTGCGTGTTCCAGCTGTCGGTGCTGTGTGTGGTGTGCCTGATTGCGGCTGTGCAGTCGCCCGTGGGAGGCTGCCACGTCCAGTACTTCTGCATGGCGGCTGTGCTGGTTGCGGGCGCGGGCGTGGTTGCCTTCACGAACATGATGCGCTCGACCTTCCTGACGGTGATGCACACTGCGAGCTTTGTGCTCCTTGCGGCGCTGTGCGTGGTCAGTGCGGCCAACCACCTTGCGCCGAGCGACGGCGGTGCGAGGGCGTACGCGGCTATCGTGCTGCTGCTGGCGACTGTGGTGCTTGCGGTCACTGTGTACAGCATGGTTGTGTGGTACGCGGAGGACCGCCACTGGCAGGAGCTGCGCGAGCCGCGGCGTGGCGGACTGGAGGCGCTGCTGCGCGATGGCGAGGAGAGCGACGAGGAGACGCAGAAGCCCCACGAAGTAACTACATTTTCGTACGTCTCAGGCGCCACCGCTGCGTCGTCGTACCGACCACCCGCACCGCCGTAGCAGCCCATGGCCGGTGACACCCGCTCAGACGCCCTGAGCCTGCTCGAGTGTGCACCCAGTGCGAGAGGCAAAATTGGTTGTGCTACGCCGGAGAAGTAATGAATTTGTGCTGCTCAAGAAGGTGGGCGCAGTTTTACCTCGAGTTGGAAAGTGTCTGCCCAAACAGTACCTCCACGTGGCGAGAGTTTACGAGGCTCCTCATGGATGCGGTATAACGTAGGTGCTTTTGGCAATGTGTTTACTTCTTTATTATTATTATTTATCGGATGCTTGGTTGATTGAGTCGTTGCTTTCGTTATTTTATTTTTATCGATTTTGTCAGGAACGGATTATCGAAATATCGCGCTAGCCCAGGGCGGCTGTGTCACGGGTGTGTGCTGCACGCCCGCCGCTGCAGTGCCCTCTCCGGATTTCGGGGTTATTATTTAGATTTTTACTCATTAACGAGGACGTGTTCTGCGATGGTGGCTGTTGTGCGGAGCATTGAATTTATTTGAGGAAAACTTAGGGACAAAAAACGATAACGCCCTTCTGTGGCTTTCAATAAATGAAATTTGGACGTGTGCGTTGCTGGTCGATGAGGGAGGGCGTGGGGCCACTGCTGCTGCGCACCACAGCCACCCATCGGACTCCGCAACGGCGTTTTCGCTGTTTTTCTGTGCGTTGTTTCTATTTCTGTGCGGGTGCCTGCAGTGACTCTCTCCTGCTCCCCGATGACTGTGGGGGGGGGGGGGGGCGTGCCTGTTTTTCTCGTTGGTTATGATGTTGTATGAAATGCGGAAAAAAGAAAATGAGCGGAAAAGTATGCAGGCTGATGTGTTTTTTTAGGAGCTTGTGAAAAGAATGATCGCGGGAGAGCTGGCTAACATAATTGATGTATGTGTTTATCCTGATAAATGAAGGCATTCTTTATGATACTTTCTACCGTATGAATCTTTTGGGAAGAACGCGACTTTGTAGGGGCAGGGAGCCGATAGAGGCCGGATAAATTTTTAATTTTATTTTGCCACCCCACCCACCCCTTTTGGCTCCCACCACGCGGCGGGGTCTTGTGGTTGGAGGACCCCAAAGTCTGCCATTTCGTAAGTAATAATATTCAAATCCCAACTGAGGACGAAGGACCATGCTAATGGTCCACAGAATTCTATATATTGAATGAGAATAAAACATTGAAGCAATTAACTAAAGAACCTTTTTCCCTAACTTGTTTGGTTTCCATAAATAATTTCAGGATCCGGCCAGCTGCCCGGAAGATTATTATGTATCGATATGTTTTTTTTTGGATTACTCTGGTGGTTCCTCCTGTCTCCTTTTGCGTTGCTCCACACGTGTCTCAGTGTTTGCTTTAGGACGGCCACACACGGGTAGCTTGAGCCGCGGATATCTTTTTTCTTTTTGACGCCATTTCGTGTTAGGCACCAACGCGGTCACGTTCGTCAAGCATCCACTCTCCACAGCGTGGTGCCTGATATTTTGGAGTCATCTCAGATGTAACGCCGGCACCACCGCCGTGGCAGTCATGGGAGGTAAGATGGGACGCGGGCAGCGAAGGATATTGTGCTGCACATGTGTCTGCTGCATTTGTTCTGTCGTGGTGGCTTCAATGTAGAAGGAGAGGGATGAACATTGCACGATTTCGTGGCTTGGAGGAGTTATTACCCACTTTTTGTATGATCTTTGGTTCCCGCCCGTGTCTGCCGCGATTGCCTCCCCTGAGTGGAGCTGCGCCATGGCCATCCTTTTTTGTTGTTGTTGTCCTTTTATCTCAAGGCACGGCGGGATTGAGGAGCACTGCCCCACGAAAGGCATTGCGCACATACACACTCTCATGCCGCTGTCGCCCCGAGGTCGGGTGCAAATCCAATTTTTGCTGCTTTTGCATTGGCGCAATTATTTTTATTTATTATTGGCTGACGCCTTCCTGTCCGGCGTGTCACTTTGATTGGATTGTGTGGGACTGCTCGCCAACACCATCGAACGAAGCAGGCCGACGACTTCCCGTATTTAAATGCCATCTTGCACGCACGTATTTTTTTACTTGTTCAGTTGACGTGCACTCAGGCAGCGAGGGATTTGGAACTATGCGTGCGTGGAACTTGTCCTGCCATGTGGACTGCGGGCAACACCGCGGGGCTGCCACTTTTACTCCGCAGAGTTGTTGTGTCTCTTCGCAGGGCTGGCAGGGAAATTCCATGCAGCCAGCTACTGCTGGTGTGTCCCCAAATGTTGCCACTCCATGCGAATAATGTGCTTCAGCGAGTGAGGGGGTTGATTGGGTTTGTGTGCACTCTGATTGTGTTTGCTGCCTTGTGCGGGCACGCAACACCTGAGGGGTGGGAAAATGGAGCGGGGCGATGCATGGCTGCGTTCCGCCCATCGTTCACTGCACGGTGGTGCGGTGCGCATTGTGGTGCTGGCTCTCCGATGTGACTGCGGTCTCCTGCGCGGCAATGGCGGTGGGTGGAGGAGAGTGTTGGCCCGCGGCGTGACGGTGGGATCGTGCCTCCTTTTTATTCTTTTGTGAAGGTGTGCACTTATTTTTAGTGTTAGTGATGGGGCAAACCGACGGACAAAGTGAATAAAACAAAACAGAAAAGGGCAATAATGTGGCGGTGTTGTTGCCAATTGCACGTTGTGTTGCTGCGGAGGCGGTGGGCCTTGACTGTTTTGCCGACAGGCGTTGCAGTGCGGCTGCATGGCACACCGACCGCCCCGCCATGCGAGCGCCACGCCCAACGCCATTGGGACTGCGGGAGGAAACAGCCGCGACTGCCCATTGGAGCCAGCGGCGCCTGCTGGCCGCAGTTGGGTGGTACGAGTGGGATGCTTCACCGCACGGGTGCTGTGATGGCGCGTTGCAGCGGCTCCGGTGATGGTTCCGACGCTGCAACTTGCAGAGGAGTGGAGGAAACGCAGCGACCAAATTGGACTCTCGACAGTTGGCGGCATAAAGTGCTGCTGGAGGGAAAGGAACGCATCCGAAAAGTGAGGCTGAATGACTTCCTTCGGAATTATTTTGATGGCAGGGGCGTTGGAAAATTCTATTTGTAGGTCTATATGCGGGGTTTTTTCTATTAGCTTCACGAAGTTCATCCAAGACGAAGTGTTATTGGACACAATAAAGGCATCGCCGCCATACCAAGAGCTGAAAAAGGAGCGTGAGGAGTATTACGTGCTGTTGGGGGCTTCACATAAGCTTAAAAAAGAACATATTGTCACTCTCAACCGATGGAGGGAATTTAAAAGAAAGGATACGGTCATTCCTCTTGCAAGGGCACAAATAAACAAAGCCTACTCTCAGATACTGAGGGTAGAGAGGTGGAAAGCAGAAGAAAAGGCAAGGCGAGAACGACAAGAACTGTTATTTACCATTCACACTAGGACTGATGATGCGGTGCTGAAGGGAAGGGTTCGCGTGAATAAAATGAGGCTGAATGATTTTCTTACGATGGAATTGGACGGGAGGGGCGCTTTGGACGCCAATCGGGATGTCTTGTTGGAGGAGGTTTTCAAGGACCCCAAGAAATATATCCGTGATGCGGGAGTATTGAACGAAATGCAGGCATCGGATCGTTACAAGAGGATGGAGAGGGCTGCGAGGGATGAAATGGACATGGCGGAGGATGCAGACAAGCTTTACAATAAGGGCATGTACGATCTACTGAGGTCCCTGGCTCAGCCGGCCACCTCAACGTGGTGCCAGGGACTAGTACTCTTTACTAGAGAGGAAGCCAAGCGCCTGCTGTTCATGCTTCAAACCCGATGAGTAGTTGTTACTTAGTTTTACGGGCCGGAAGGGCAGATGTTGGAGCCATTCTATAGTGGCTGCCCGCGGAGTAAGGTTATCCTTGCTACTGAATTCCTTCGTACGCTTGCCAGAGCTGCACAATTGAGGTGCAGTTACTACGACTGGTAAGAGAAGAAAAAAAGAAAAAAAAATCTACTGAGGTGTTTGGTGGCTACTGCATTTTTTTGTTTCTCGTGTGTTGGTTGCGTTGGCTTTATTTTATGCTGAAATGTACTTGTTTTTTTGTGTTGCGCCACTGAGCTCAATATGTAGTCCACACCGTGTGGATACGTCTTTTTCTGCTTCCTCCAGTCATTTTTGTGCGTATTCTCCTTTTTTTTCTTTCCTTATTCCCCTTTTGATTGGTCGTTAGTGTTCAGCTTTAACTCAATCCAACCAATAAAAAAAGGAGAAACAATGCCTCCAAAGCGCAATAGAGTGCAAGGTGGCAATGCCAAGAGTCGAGCGTCTGCCGCGCCGCGGGTAGGTCTTCAGAGGAGAGCGAGGCCGGAGTCTGAGGGTGAGACGGATCAACCCGCTGCGACCCACATAAGAGTGGAGGAAAGGCAGCAACCGCAGTGGACCATGAGCAGCACCGTAAAGGACGTCCTGCGGGAGGGAAGCACTAACAGGACCGACATGAGGCTGAATGATTTTCTTACGATGGAATTGGACGGGAGGGGCGCTTTGGACGCCAATCGGGATGTCTTGTTGGAGGAGGTTTTCAAGGACCCCAAGAAATATATCCGTGATGCGGGAGTATTGAACGAAATGCAGGCATCGGATCGTTACAAGAGGATGGAGAGGGCTGCGAGGGATGAAATGGACATGGCGGAGGATGCAGACAAGCTTTACAATAAGGGCATGTACAATCTACTTGGGTGGCCATTAGCTACTCCGGAGGTAAAGGCAAGTGCTCATGGAGCTACTAAAAGTTTTTTGGATGCAGCCGCCGAGGAAGCGTGGAACCCAATGACGACGATTGCACCGATGTACCTGGAGGGATTGTACGAGTCTGTGTACAATGCGAGGTGGCATCATGTCGTGGAAGTCCGTGGCGGCGAGGGGACGGGAATGAGGGTTGAGGTGGGGAAGCCCGAACAGTCATGGACGTACAAGGCGGTTGGCAACACCCTTGAAAAGGATGACGCTGTGCAGCAATCCGGTGCAGCACGTCTCAGGCTGATGGTGCTTACCTCGGACAAGGGATGGCCGTACACGCTGAATGGGCCGCATAGGTGTGGTAATGACTTGTGTGTTAACTGCGAGGTGGATCGAGTGTGGCAGATCGTCAAGGGCGATCTAAACAAGTGGCTCAGCAACTCTGACTTGACTCTCAATCCTTCACCTTTGTTTCGTCTGTTGATTGGGACGCCCGGGATTGGGAAGTCGATGGCTGCCAGCTCGTACCTCCTCTACCAGCTGCTGCAATACGACGTCGAGAAACTCCCAGCGGTTGTCCACTGTTTTGGAACCGCGATGTACGTGTTTGACAAGACCGCCAAAACCGTGAAAAAATACAACGGTGAGATAACATCCAGGAATCTTTTGTATGGTTTGCGGAGGAGTGGGATGAAAGGGTATATTATTTACGATGTGGAAACGCAAGGAACACAGCCCGACCCAGGTTTTGCGCCCTCCACCGGATGGGGCATGATTTTGGTGTCATCCCCAGAGGTAAGCAACTATGATGGATGGGAGGAGCAATTAAAAGTCAGTCGAATCATCATGAATTGCCCCGACGAGACGGATGTGAAGGCGATGTGTGCGTGGATGAAGCGTGACGAGACCAAAAAGAAACAAGCGGAATGCTGGAGGATGGTCGAAGAACGCATGGAAAAAGTGGGGCCGATTATACGTCACATCTTTGATGCGGTTGAATATGAAAAACGCACGAAGGATGTTCTGAGGACCTTGAGATGGTTCAATATGGGGGATCGAGGAAAGTACTTTACACAGGGAGGAGAGAACGAATGGCATTCCGAGGGTCCGTCCCAAAAACTTCTGAAGGTTGTTCGAGTGAGAGAATATGGCCCAATTGAGGACTTCGCTAATGCACCTATATGTGTGTATCTTGGGGTTTTAACAGTATCTCGCTTGGCAAAGGTGCTGAGTCCGCATGATATTCTTTTCCTCGTATTGGGGATGAAGAATGCTGTTCAATCTGCAGATTTGAAAAAGTATGCTTTGAGCGTATTCTTGAATGAGGGGTTTGTCACTTCCATGGTGAAGGATCTCAAGGAGCTGCCGCCACCATCGCCTTCCAAACCACGGCCCTCGGTGCTAACGTTAAACCCTCATGGTTACCCCACCGAGGCAGCTGCAATAACTGAACTGAATTTAATTGATGGCCTGCAAAAATTAAAGCGTCGGCTGCTGTACATACCGACGTCCCCAACCTTTCCGCTGGTGGACTGCTTTTTCTTCATGGAGTCACCGCGGAGGACACTGGTTGGGCTGCGGATGACGACGGCGAGTGCGCATCACACCACCGCCAGCACAGTGCGGCAGTTCACTGAGCGTCTGGCGGCATATTTTGAAGGATGGGAGGAATTTTCTCAAGGATTGTCGTGGGAGATGATTTATGTGCAGCACGCAGACAGCACGCCGATGAATGACTGGCAGGGATGTGATTGCGTCAATCCCAACAATAAAATTGACGCTGAGAAAAAAATTGTGGCGTTCTGGGACGGGAAGGTGCACCAATACCGGGTTATGTTGAAAGGTAAATTTCCAGAGGAAATCAAATTTTCTGATGATAGTCTACCAGAGGGGGATAAAAAAAACAGGAAAATTTAAAAAATAATTGGGGAACAAAGTGCATTTCGTTCTGGTGAAATATATTGGGAGTATTTTAACGATTTTTATGTGTGTGTGTGTGTGTGCCTACGGGGTCTAGACAGTGAGTGCCCTTCCTTTCAGAGAACCGTTGTGATCGGCAGTGCCACACTCACCACACCCTCTTTTCATTTTATTTTATTTTTCCCACCAGAGGCGCATCGTCACTGGAGGCTGTTGCGCACCACAGGGGCCGCACAATTTTTTTTTAAATTTTTATGGGATTTTGTGAAACGAATGCTTGAGAGGACGGCTGGCTGCCCAAATAAATTCATATCTCGCGCAAACGAAGATATGTCCTCACAACTTTTTCCTCTTCTACCGCACTGTCTTTTGGGAGACCGCGATTGAGGGAGTCAAGGAGCCGACAGCTGCCAGACGAAATTATTATTTTTATTTTTTATTAGGAGCTTGTGAAAAGAATGATCGCGGGAGAGCTGGCTAACATAATTGATGTATGTGTTTATCCTGATAAATGAAGGCATTCTTTATGATACTTTCTACCGTATGAATCTTTTGGGAAGAACGCGACTTTGTAGGGGCGGGGAGCCGATAGAGGCCGGATAATATTTTTAATTTTATTTTTTACAGACACACAGCCAGGTAACTTCAAGGAAATGACTTTGGTTCCCTGCACACCCTCCGAGTGGTGTGATATTGGCGCCCGTCTCTGGGAAATGGTGTGCCAATGTGGCGATACGCAGGTGCAGATGACGTTCATTAATGGTAACCAGCTGTCGGATGAGACGTTGACCGTGGCCCCATCGTCCACAGGCTTATGCTTGCTCCATGGACCTATCTCTAAAGCATGGCAGGATTCCACTCTTATTGGACATATTGCAAATCTACGGGCGCCTCAGATCCCTAATTTTGAGAAACAAGTGCTCCTGCCCGCTATGGGGGTAGCCCGGGAGTTGGGGCACCAACAAGGGCTCATCACTGCTGAAAGGGAGCGCCTGAATTTTGATTACGCAAACGCCGTCGCGGACGTGCAGAATCGAAATGCTCAGCTTAACTCGCAGGTTGAGGAGGCGCATATTAACCCATCGGTAAGGGAATCCACTATCGCCGGGGCCGGCAACCAGGTCCTAGAACTACAAAAGCAGTTGGAGGCCGATCGCGCCCAATTACGGGAGCGCGAATTCAACATGGGACGACTCACTGCTCAACTCCAGGAACGGGAGGCACGCCATAATGCACAACAACCCGCGCGGGATGCGGAGACGGCGGGGCGGGACGAGGCCTCCGCTACTCAACACGCTGCCAACGATGGCGTATCCACAATACCGCACCAACGGATATCTTGATGGCTGGAGGCGAGCCTAGCAGTGCGGACCGACGCAGTTCGGCGGCTTACAGACGCCCTCACGGCAATGTTGGGAGACCACATTTCCACCCTTCCACGCCGTCGCCTTCCCGCACTTCTCCCCTGGACGCCCAATTACCCATGGAAGAGGACCGCAGTTTCTGCGCACTCGACGTCACCACTTGGGACCCACGCGCATATGGAATGAGGGCGCCTCCGGAGTCATTATCGACCTCCGGTGCGCATACCAATGCTGGCAACAGGACGACGAGCAGGTTAAACTTGCCTTTGATAATTTGGTCGAGTGGATCAGCGCGCTGGAAGACTGGCAGGATCCCACTGATCGAATCATGAATTTGGGGAGTTCCCTACTGAATACATTCCGGATGCAGCTCACGATTGCATCCGATCCCGGCATTCCGTTTTCCAAACTGCGCGCCCGTTTACACACCGCTGTTCACCAGACGGACGCTTATGCGGGGGCAGCCCAGCTTTTTGCCGATCGGCGAGAAGCCCAACGCACTTTGCGATGCCAACGTTGTCATATCTTTGGACATGAGGCATCTACATGCAATGTGCGCCCCAGAGGGAATTAATTACAACACAGGCGTCCTTCAAAAAACGGCCGAGGGATGCCGCACGCCACTCATGAATACTGACGACGGCAGCTCCATCCATTCCACCACCTCCCGCCAATCCTCACAGGCAGCGCACCGCACCGCCGATGCTCCACCCGATCTTTCAAATTGCCCGACACAATCGTCGAGAAGGGCGATGGGGCTTATCTGCCAACGACGCTCAACTGTGGTACGACGAAACACCGACATCCCCGCTT